TGTCAAAATCCATGTAACCAAATGGTGGATGGGTTTTATATATAAATTGCTAATAAAAGTATAGAGTGAAAAAAGCAATTAACAACTTCCAAACTATACCCACAGAGATAAACATTCCAATTTGAAATTTCATTATTTGTGCATTTTGTTTTATATTGAATACTGACTTCTATTGCCAAATACCTGACAGTCAAATTGGAAACAAGCCACAACTGTCAACATGTAACAGCACTGGCTATTTGAATCTGTTACAGTGTGATGTCTCTCATGAAAATTTAATGACAATGGGGCATTCCATGAGGTCCTGCACAAAGGGGTGGGTGGGTAGAATTTAATTATCTCTATTAAAAATAAGAGAGGAATGCCCTTTCCATTCTCTGTCTGATTAGTATGCAAGGAAGATTGTCTTTGTTATGCACTTGTGTGTATGAAAAGGAGGCTCTGGAGTGTTCTGTATGAGCTGAGCACGAAAAAAAGGTCATGCAAATGCATCAGGCTGCTTCCAGGGGGCACGAGTCAATTTTGTCAGCTCTCCCTCAGGTAAGGACTTCATTTCTTATAAACGGTGATTAAATCTAGATTTTCTCAGTAAGAGCTTTTAGCAAGTGACTCAACAATCTTACGGCTTTCACACTTACTATTGGTCAGTCCTGAATCTTGGCTGTTTTTCAGAGAAATGAACTCGTAGAAGAAAATTAATGACTAGCAGAGCATTTTTTATAGATATGATGAATGTAGTTAAACACGATGGAGAAGATACAGTGTCCTAGGAAACACTGAAATCTCAGAGTGATATTTTGTTATTATTGTGGTTTGGTTTTGTTTTACTTAATTTTTTTTATTTAAAGTCTTTTATTTGGTAGAGTGTCTTGCTACACAGCTCAGACTTGTAGAGGTTCTCCTGTTTCAGCCTCCTCAATACTGGGATTACAGGCGTGTGCCACCATTCCCAGTTTTGGTGGCTGGCACAGCACACCCAGGGAATGCATTAGTGGGGATCGAACCTGGGTCCTTATACTTGGCAGGCAGGCATGTAGACCACAAAGCTATCCCCTCAGTCCTATTTTTTTAAAAATTGGTTGCTTTATAAAAAAAGAAAATAATAATAGAGTCTAAGCAGTTTTACACATGCTCAGTTTTCAATATTCTTGGAACACTTAAGCCAAATTCTTTTTATAGTTTGAAGGATTTTGTGTCAATAGCTTCCAAGTGAGATGTTTAATAATATAATATTGGCAGTATAGCAGCTATTGATATTTTTCTCTTTTTTTCTAACAATATTGGAACTGCACTGTAGATGTAACTATGTTGGTAAAACCTTTAAGAATATAAACAATAGCCTGATGAAATTCAGGTGGAGCAGGCTATTGATATTAGCGTAACCTAATTTGAAAGGTGCTCTTCATCTCGTTTTAATGTTTAACTTTCCCTTGGAGATCCAAAAAGTCATCTTGAGATTCCACTGTGGATCCCCGCTCCTGACATCTGCCTCTTGGCTGAGGAGGTGGAAGGTTTTACATAATCAGAAGGCGTTTCTGTTTCCTCCGGAAAAAAAGTGTCTTTCTAAATGAATGAAATGTACCACGTGGAAGTCAGCTCTTTTACAGATTTTAATCTTAAAATCATGATTATCATTAGTATTCAAAGCTCTTAAGAAACTGGTCTAATAAGAAAATAATCTCCAGTAGATCCAGGTGAGGGTCTTATAATCTTTTCTCTTATAATCTAGAACTGCTGTTCTCTGTGTTCTAGAACCTTCTTGAGAGGTTTATATTTAGTATGTTGCCATTTTTTTTGTGTCTTTGGCCTTTCCAGTTCTTGTCATTGCTCTGACAAAAGTTCTGTGTAGCAGGGCTTTTTCTTGTACGATCACTGAGTTGTATTCACACCCAGGTTTGGGAATTACTGGAATATATCTTAAAACCTGTAAGTCTATAGGACTGTGAGGGCGCAGGAGTTGAAAAAACCTTTTAGTAGGGTTTTTGCAATTAGTAAGTGCAAGAGACTAGATTTAGGTATCTGTTGGTGTGAACATTCTGATAAAGCAAAAAATGAATATGTGTTAAGGAGGTTTGGAAACCCTTAGCAATAAGGTGCTCGAGCTCCGTGGCTTCCCAATGGCACCAATACGATTTTTCCAGGAGATTGAGAATTTCAGCATGGACAGTAGGAAAGCTTCGTATGGGTGAAGTGATCCATGAGAGGCTAAAAGAAGCAGGCCCTTGTGAGTCAGAGTTAAGAATTTGAGTTTGGTCTGTAGGTTAAAAGAGGAGACCAGGGCTGACCAACAGCGAAGTGGAAGCACCAGGACTGGGTATGTTCTAATGCTTACCTTGCTAGTGTTTATGATTTCGAGCCATCCTAGATTCAAGAGACCATCAAAATGCATCAGTGGTCATAACGTACTATTGATTAAGTGAGTACCAGGCTGAAGGGGAAGTCCAAGTGTTTCAAAATGGTCTTCAAACAGATGCCCACTTTCTGATTTGGATATTATCACACATCAAACTTCAGCTGTTTCATGCACAAGTAAAATAGGGTTTTCCAGTCCTGCCTGGAAGAGCTAGAATTGTAAAATGTCAGTGCGCAACATGGTTGGAGGATTTAGGTGGACTATTTCTTCATGTGAAATCTGAATCAGTTTTTTTTTTTTTTTTTTTTTTTTTTTTGTGGATGGGAAGCAATTGGCTTTTGATGAGCTGGACTATAGAAATTTAGGAATTTCCCCTTTTTAAATTTCTGAAAATGGTCAGGCCTTTGAGATGGAGAAAAGTATTTTCTTTACTTCAGAGATTATTTCTGATCTGATTTCCTCTATATATTTCTGCATTTGATTCTTTACTTCAGATGCTATTAATTCAGGTATTTCTTTATTTCAGAGGTTATTTCTGATATGAGTTCCTTTATACCTTTCTGCAGTTGTTTCTTTGCTTCAGATGCTATTACTTCAGACATTTCAGCTGTGTGATTCCCAATTTCTTCTGTGCTAATGTCCTCTGCACTTGTTGTGGGTGGGATTGGGATCTGAGATTGCATTTTGTTCCTTCTCTTTGTCATTTTGTATAGCACTGTCCTCTGACCTTTGATGTAGAGCTTTGGTATAGTTATAACCTTAGTACCTACTGCAATTCAGTGGCAGATCTATGAAGTTTGAATTCATCTAGTTGTGCCTGGCTTGGGTCTGGCTGCTGTGCTCAGCTTCTTCCTGCTGCAGCCCTTGGAAGTGAACCTGTTGTGCCCCTCTGGCAAGATGTTCTATTCCTGGATTAGTTGGGTGGTTCTGGCCCTTAGCCTCTCTGCAGGGACTTCAGCTGCAGAGTTTCACCCCAGGCCTGTATGTCAGGACTGGGCTGGATCTGGAGGAGACCAGAGAGCAGGACAGATGGATTCACTCACAAGTGGGTCTGGGCTGGATCAAGAGGGACCCAGCAGGCAAAGGGAACATGGAAGCTCTCCCACACACTTGCCAGGCCTTGGCTTGGGCTGGATCTGGAGGGGTCCCAAGAGCGTGGCGGAAGTTCTCATATGCCGGGCCTGGGCCTGGGCCTGGGCTGGTTCTGGAGGGGTTCGGAGGGGTCCCAAGAGCTGCATTATTTTCTTACTCTAAGGAATATTTTCTTTTGTGTCATTAACAGGGACTTAATTTTTTTCTTCAGTAAAGAACTCTCAGGGGAACAGGAAGGGGAGAAAAGAAAGAGAAGTATTAAAAAAAAAAAAATTAAAGAGAATGAGAGAATTGAAGGGAAAAAATGCCAAAAGAGCTTTCGGTAATCAGTCAGAAGAAAGATTGAAGGGAAGCAAGGGAATGGGAAAGAAAAAAGAAGATATATTATGTTCATGTACAAATTCCCATGATGGGTGTGATAAGGTATGCAAACATGTATTAATGAAAAAAATCGAATTCTCAAATAATTTTCTGACCAGTCAAAACCCCCTACAGAGGCATTTATTTAGGCTGAATCTTACGCTTGAGTAAAAAGTGAATAGTCATTCTGGAGACCTGGGAAAGGTTGGTTCTGGCCCTCTCAGGCCCGCTGATAGCAAACTCTGCACACACTCAAGCCGCTTTGCTGAGCTGCTGTAGTAGCGTAGTCGCTGCATAGAGCATTCCATCCCTTCTTGTGGACTTGAGATCATCTCTAAGTTACTTCTACTATGTCATGCAAAATAAATACTATGAAGAGTTGTGATGGCCTGTGGCTTAAGGGATAATCACAAGAGCAAGTCTGCTCGTGTTTCATGTGGACACATGTTTTTCCAAAGTTGGTTTGTTTGTTTGTTTGTTTGTTTGTTTGTTTTCAGAAACAGGGATTGAACTCGGACCCTTATTCTATTAAGCCATCTCCCTGGTCCTCCAAAGTATTTTCAATCAGTCACATATTTTGAGCTTATGGAGATACCAGCACTGGAGTCAGAGGGCTTTCACTTGTTATTTCTTAGAAAAACATAACAACGTGGAACAGAGATATCTTAGCCTGGCCTCTTGCTGACTGACCTGCTTGCTCTCTCCCACAGCCTGGAGGGAATCCCCATGTGACTCCCCACTGTGTGCTTTCAGTAGAAACCTTCCTATGTGAATACTTAGCCTAGGGCTATTGCTGTCTTTCTGAAAATCTCATCTTCTTCTTTTGAAACCTAGCCAGGTGGACTCCCTGCCACTGTTCTGCAGGCCCTGTGCATGGCAGAACGTGCTCCTGCTCCTCAGTAGCCTGCTGCAGCATGGCTCCTGCAGTTATTTGTCCCTCTGTGCTCTTAGATATCTCGATTCAGCTCATCATCCCCATTGCCTCAGCCTGTGCTCTGCACTAGGGTGTAGGCCTTCGGCGTCTTAATCCTCTAGGCAGAAACGGACATTATGAATGTGCTCTAATAATGGGTGGTGCTTGGTTGTGTTAGGGCCTCAACAAGTGCAGAATAAGAATCATTGGGATTTATGGCAATATTGAATATTAAGCCTTTAACTTCTTAAAGGAAGGTCTGTGCCGCCTTTTGTCTTGCAGAGGATCAGATCCCCAGGGGCTTCCCCACCATCGACATGGGCCCACAGTTGAAGGTGGTCGAGCGTACGCGCACTGCCACCATGCTGTGTGCAGCCAGTGGCAATCCGGATCCAGAAATCACTTGGTTCAAAGATTTCCTGCCCGTTGACACAAGCAACAACAATGGTCGTATTAAGCAGTTACGATCAGGTAGGGTCTTGTTACTGTTTCCACTAACTCCTAGAGCAATTTTTTTTTTTTTTTGAAAAAAACAAACTTTCTCTCTTTTTATTTATTTATTTTTGTTTACTTTATTTTTAATTTTTAGGTATTGATTTTTCTCCCTCTTCACCTTTTCTGTTATTTAATGTGTTGTCCATGTTGACGTCATGGCCTGTTTCAGAGTTCACCTTTCTTCTCTCTGTGTGTTTTGCAGCTTCTGTTTAATCCACATTGCTCACTGCTGTGACTGCATTTTTGAGATATATATATATATATACACATATTTTTTTAATTTACTGCTTTTCTGCAGTATTGAATGGATCCATTTTCTCTTTCTTCTTTCTCTGTTTTCTTTTGAAACAAAATTATTTCAGTATTGGACTTCAGAGTTTGCAAGGCGTTCCAATGGCTATATCCATTGAAAACCAGTGTTCATGTGAAGCACTAAAATGATTCAGTAATATCAAAGTGCATTTTCTACCTGCCTTTTCTACTTTTGAATGCATCCAAGTACCGAAGTTTAGTAAGTTTGGGCACATCTGCTTTCTTTTCACTGATACATAGAACACAGCAATGTTACCTCATGAATAACCAGTTGTATTTTTTAAAAGCCTTTTTCAAAGTACCAACCAAAGGAGGGGATTTTTATTCCTAGTATTACTACAGCATTGTGAGTGAGCCTTTTCTACACGTTAGGCACTGTAGAGTGTGCCCACATTCAAGGTGTTACACCGTCCAGTGACTGGATCTACAGAAGTCTGCTTCTGGCATAGACTCCGGCTTTTGCCGCTTCCTCCCTCTTTGCCCTTTCCTCCCACCCCCTTTCCCACCCTGAGTTTACTCTTGTGCTTTCTATAGATGAAAAATAGAGATAATTCTAAATTCCTGAAGTATTAGAGCCTGTCCCTAGGCAATGTCTTGGGGGCATATACTATTAAGCTGTTTACTTCAACATTTTTTAGTAATAATGATACGCAATCCTAAGTTGTTTAACTGCCTGTCTTCCCAGAGTTCTCGGCTTTTGACCTGTCCTGTGATGTTAAAGCGTCTTGTTAACTGCCTCTTTTGCTTGTTGTCAGCAGAACTGTGTAGTTTAGAATTCTGTTTTTTGTAAATAAAGAATTAATTATTCACATGTAACATAGATAATTTAGTATAATAAAGCTTTAACTTCTGAAAAATTTGTACCAAATTATAAGGAATATAATAATATTTTTATGCTGTCTTTCTTCTCTCCGTATTAAATCTCCAGAATCTATTGGTAAGTGCTTAGTTCTGAAGCGCACTTCACCCCCACTAATTTCCATATTCAGAATATTATTATTATTATTATTATTATTATTAATAAAATGCATGGCATGCATTTTACTAACTGTCAGTGTAGACACCAGATCTCCCTAGTGGCGCACACACGTACACCTCCACAGAGCTGTTGCTGTAAGTACACCGCGTAGAGAAATAAACTATACACAGATTATTTCACACAAATGTAGCGTAATGAGTAACATAAGCTGTCTAGCCAACAGTGTTTGTTTCTAGTTAGTCTTTAGTATTTCCTGTGACAGAGTATATATATATATATGGATATCTATCTGTATATATATACTTAAATAGCTCAGCCAGCATTTTCCGAAACTTGGTCTTTAAAAATATTGTATATTTCTTTTTCTAAGGCTAGGAGGCGTATGAGATTAATTCTAGCCCTATGTGATCCCAGACCTAAGAACTCAGTTGATTCTCTGAGAAAGGCAACGCTGCCTATATGATCTTTACTCTCTGCGGTATAATGCAACTTCTTTGGTGATCTAGTGATACTATCTAATATATTCCTGTTTTACCAGTATAGTAATTCAAGTTTCTTTTAAGACCTTATTTAATTCTGTAAATCTAATTTAATTCTTCTCCCCAGCCCTAGCCTCCTTCTTCTCGTACTAATGCTTCTTCTTTCTAATCTTATTTGCATTCATATTATCCACCCAGGTGGTACACCAATAAGAGGTAAGAGTGCTGAACTAACGTTCACAGAATGATCTTACTCATCCCTTCTGTCCTTTCATCCCTCCCATCTTTGTCCTGTTTTCCAAATCATCCCACTGATGTCCGTTTTTTTCCTTTGTACCGTTTGGTTATGATTCGTGACTCTCACATTGTGGACTTTGCTTTCCTTTTCCTTTTTCTCTTTGTTTTGTTCATTTCTTTCTTTATGAAAATGATTATTTAAGTTGTGATATGCTTCAAAGGAAGCATATCCAGGTCTTCAGACCTCAGACCAGTCACAGCGTACCATCTGTCCCTCTTTTTTTCTTTTCTTCTTCCTTTTTTCTTTTTTCTCTTTTTTTTTGTGTTTTTCTTCTTTTTCCTTTTTTTTTGTCCAACTGGAGAAAAAAAAAGATCATTTTTTTCTTCCTTAGCTGTTCTTGTTCTGGACCAAACCCAAGGCGGTCTGGAGAACAGTGGCAGACATGCAGAAGACGGCCTGGACCATCTGCTTTTTGTCTTTATCTTTCAAAAGGTTTTTGCTTTTGTTCTTCAATTCTTTTTTCTCTTAATGTCTTAAAAGTCAAAGAATGACACCCCTTTCCACCTGCTCCTACTCGCCTACCAGCTGACAGCAAAGCTTTTTCCCCTCCCCCCGTTTCTTTTTTTCTTGGATTACTCTTCTCTGGATTTTTGGATCTTCTGTCCTTCAGGCTATGGAAACAAGGTGCTCAGTATTCTTGGTGGTATGTGTATTGCCGGTTTTTCATACTTTGCCTCAGTGTCGCTTTCTTTTGTAATTCTTGTTTTGTATTTTTCTTGGGGTTTTGTGACACCGCACTGCTAATCCCGCTGGTGGATTGTGAAGGGTGTCGCGCGGGGATCGGCCTCGAGGTCCTCGGCAGTGGTTGGTTGACTTCCTGGCTGACATAGGCCGTGCTTTTTAACTTTTTTAAAATCTTCTAATGCAACTGCTCTTTGTTTTTCAGCAAATGTAACCAATGATTGTAAGTTGTGGCAAACTGTCTTTCTTTTCTTAAAAAAAAAAAAAAAGTCTGCATGTCTTAAGGGAGTTTTGTTTCTTTAAGTAATATTTTGATAACTGATAATGACTAATTTTAATTTTTTGCTTTGTGCAGCCTTTTTGTGCTCGCTGCGTGTTTTTGGCTTTCTTCAGCAGAAGACTTTCTTGAAAACTCAGCCTGGTTTTTTTTGAATGTACCCATCTTTTGCGCCACTTTTGGTATAAAAATGAAACAAAACAAAACCAAAAATTAATCTTTTGTTTTATTTAAAAGCCATACTTCCTTGAAGCAGTCTCACCCATCTTCATTTTATTAGTCTAGGAAATAAGAGTGTTAATTATGACTAGAACGCTTGTTGGGGAAAAGAGATATTGTTTTCTTATGCTAGCATTGATGATGTTAAAAAAAAAAAAAAGAAATAATCTCTATATGTTTCTCTCATCGCATCATTTCTGTCTGTGCACCTTAGCAAGAGATTGCCTCGACGTTGAGCGGACCTTCACTTGGCCAGGGATTTTCATATTTTTAAGAGGTTTAGCTTTGTGACCTGAGAAAGCCTGCTCTGACCATCTCTTTGGCAATGTATTTTATATCCATACAGGAGCGCTTCAGATCGAACAGAGTGAAGAGTCCGATCAAGGAAAATACGAGTGTGTTGCCACCAACAGCGCGGGCACTCGCTACTCCGCCCCTGCCAATTTATATGTCAGAGGTAGGAATGCTACAGCCCTTGCCTGGTTTCTTCATTCAGGGTCAGGGGGAGCTGGCCTGCCCGCAGGGGCTGCGCTCAATACTTGATAAGCAGATTTGGTAATGGTTGTGGGTGCTGGGGTATTTTAGACAATAGAGAATTACAAATATAAGTGGTTTTTTTTTTTTTTTTGTAATGAAAAGAGAAAAAATAATTTGAGTATAATCTATCCTGAGGCTTGAGCTTTGTAAGTATACTTGCATTTTCATATTTTTAATTGTACTTTTTATTGCATTGATTGAACTGTGCTTTGCATTTGTTTGAGATGTTCCTCTTTTTCTTCTACTTTTTTTCCTGTTGTTTCTGCTCTGTTTCTTTATCAAACCTTGGGATAATTGCTCGGTGTGCTACTAACCAGTTGTGTGTGCAACTCCAAGCGTAGAGGTGTTTATGTCTTCATGACCTCTGCTGCCGAGCTGTAAGAATAAAGCTGCAGAT